GACTAGATACATGCCCTCCTCTCGATTCTGCTTATAGTAGTTATAGAAGGATGAAGCGCACATACACCCGTAGTTTTCTATTAGACTGCTAGCTTTATACTTCTGCAATCTAACAGTTCTACCATTGATTGGGCAATTTGTGGATCAACACCTTTCTATCCCAGTCAAACTGAGGTTGCGAGACTTCGAGGTAGTACATGCCTAGTAGCATATCGAATGGCAGTTCGTCGCTCACCAGGAAGGAGATCTTGTGGATCACTTCCCCTTCTCCATACGAGAAGGGGCAGGCTACGTCCTTGACATAGTCTTTGACAACCATTTGGTGCTTGTTGGCTAGCGTAGAAGCTACAGTTCTGCTAAGCCGCTGCACTTGGTCCCCTAAGCGCAGTCTATCCACACAAGCACGACTGATGAAATTTCGTGTAGAGCCTATGTCTGCGAAGGCGCCAACCTTGTGGCCACCTACATCTACTTCTACCACGAAATGTTCACCCTTTGGACCTCTACTGATCATCACCCAAGAGTCCCTGGGGTCCTTTCCTGACCACTCAGTCTCTAACTCTTCTAGGGCCTCAGACACATCTCTCGAATAGAGCGTCGATGGGTTTGAATGTGTCTGCGGGGCGATGCGTGGGTCACTAGCCTTGGCCAATGCTTGAAGTGGGGAAGGCAATGTTACCACTTCAGCACGATTAAGAGCGGCTAACACTCCTACTGGCCCGAGGTGTTTCCCTGTGAGCTGCTCGCAGAAGCACTTTCAGGATTTGAAGATAAGCCCACCACCGTTGGTGAGGCTACCTTCGTGGTGATCTTCTTGCCGCGGCAAGTCCTGGACGTGTGGCTATAGTTGCCACAGTTCATGCATGTGCCCCTGGCAACTCGGTCCCTCCACACCTCGTAATCCAAACCAAGCTTTACCTATGCGGGTGTCCCTTGGTCTCCCTGACCCGTGGACCGTACTACCTTCTTCTTCCCGGTCCCCCTAGCCTTTTCCTTGATAGGTGCCACGACTCCACCGTCTGAAGTCTCACTGGCCCCATCGTGCTCTGTCACCTCCCCAAGGTCTGGGAAATCGTCAATCTCTGTCGTTTGACCATCATGGTCAACGAACATTAACTGACCCTTCTTCTTCCAGTCCTGGGGGAGTCTCTTCCTACCATCATGAGATACCTTATGCGCAGATCCCAACTTTGCCTCTATGTCCAGAGCTTTCTTACTAAAAGTAGCGAAGTTGTGCTGTTCGACATAGGCCTCATCAACCAGCTTGGTCCTTACCTCTGCAGGTAGGCACCTTAGGTAATCTGTCAGGAGAACCTGCTGGTCAAAACGCACACCAGGTACCACGAGAAGGCGTTCTACGGTGTCCGTAAGCTCTCTAACATCTTTGAAACTACGGGCACAAAGATTGTTGATAGCATCGGTGGCCTTTTGAGCCCCTTGCGGGTCATGCCACCTGTTATACACGGACCGTACGAACTCTTCCAGTGTCTGGGCCTGTGCCCAGGCATCGAAGTTTTGACCGTAGCCCTGCTGCTGCACTAAGCCATTCAACCAGCGGGCTGCTGACCCCTCTAAAAAGGAGGCGCAGCCACAACAACTTCTTGCTCTGGCCTCGTGAGCTTGTGCCTCACATAAGTAGGCACAGTCCTCACCCAGGTGTCTAAGTCCTCTTCCTTCTTCCTATCACCAGAGAAGGGCTTGGGACTCATCAAAGGTATCTTAGGCATCCACTACATAGGCTGCATGGGCCCAGGGGCTTGCTGCAGCGGCTGCATAGCCACTGAAACAGGCTGTTGCACACTAACATGGGCCTGGCTTGACAGTGGGACTGTAGTGACCACTGTTGTAGATGGTACGGTTGAGACTCTGTGAACCGGACCACTAGTTGCTACCAAACCACCTGGAGGGGGTATGCCAAACATAGGAGAAAAGGTTGACCCTGTGTGTTGCGGCATCGATGAGGGACCCGCACCTACAGGGGGAACTACAACAAACTGCGGCTGCCTCACCGCTGTGCGAGGAGCCCGGATTTGTTTCTGGCCTGCCACCAATTCGGCCAGCAATTCCTGCTGGACGTTCTGCGCTTCAGCCACGGAAAGTTAAGCATTACGCAACACACGAACAACAGGGTCTAATGCCGCCTCATCCAGTCCTTCCAGATTGCCTAGCTCCTCTCTTCTACTACCTAGTCTAGCTTTTCTCAGGATTGCTCTCCTTCTCTCTGCTGCCTTGTCCAATTGTCGCTGTAACTCATCCTGAAGTTCTTCTGCTTGCCGGATTTCTAAATCCTCCGGCGTGATTTGAGTCTGCTGGCTGACTCGCAAGCTAGCAGTCTGACTAATGGACCCCTGAGAACCACTCCGACTGACTCCTGACGAAGTGGACTGTGAAGAGGCTTGCGACATAGATGAAGTAGCCATGGCTGCACCGGTGCTAGCTGAAACTCTAGCCCTAGCACTATCCTCAGTTGCCCTCACTCTCCTTGCCGCTGCTCTCTCTC